AACCAGTTTGTAAATATAAATATAATATATATATTATTAAATTATTATATCAATAAGTAAAGCTGGAATCGAACTTTAAATTGGGGTGGCTTTTATATTGATAATTTAATAAATAAATTTTATTATTCGAACCCAGTTTATTTTCCAACGGCCTCAAGATGCCGCCGGAGAACGAATTGAAACTTATATAGTTTCATAGAAGTTATAAATTTGGCAAAATTAAAGTATAAGTAGAGTTGTAAAATTACCGTAATTTTATGTAATTTTACGTAATTTAGTGTAAGCTTCCGAAACCAAAATTTCATGTAATTTTGATATCATGTGAATAATGTAGCCAAAATTTCACTATGTCTGGTGTGCTTTTGAATATAAAATTATAGTTACGAACGTAGTGATGAATCTCTAATAATACTGGCAAAACTTTCATAATGTTGGTGCAATAATCATGTACCAATCCATTATCAAATGCAATTTAATCAAGTTGATTATTCTGCAAGAAATTATCAATTGGTAATCCTTAAATTTCAATCAAACTGTCAAAAATGTTCATGTTTAATTTTTTTTTACAAAAAGCATAAAACTCCAGACTCTGAGGGAGATCAAACTGATGAAATAGAACAAAATTATAAAGGAAATCAACTCAGAAAGAGCAACATCCCAGGAGAACTTGGTGATATGAATCAATAATAGTATGTAATCATCATTTACTCTCACTAAAAACAATTTTAAAGTTTATTTTTATTGTATTTAAGAAACTACAACTTATCAAGAAGATATTAGCGGTAAAGTACATCTTTATTCTTCATGATCATATATAATTATACAGGAACTAATCTACAAATTATTAATGTAGGTGATGAACTTACAGAAGAATATCAGAAGCTGCAATTAAGTAAATTAAAATTTTACTGTATTCAAAAAAATATTTATAAAAATTTAATTGCTCGTTTCTTTCTACAGCTACTATTAAAAAAGATATAGTCTCACTCCTAAATAATAATTTTAAAATAGTTGTCACTGTCAGCTTGAAATCTGTGGAGATAAACTTTTTTCTAAGAATAATTTGATCAAAAACTACTCACAGAAAACTTCGACCACCTTTTTAGTCCTGATGAAGATGTTATCCAGTTTTCGCTTCAACCTTTACCATTTAATTTGCAACAGTTTGATTCATTAGATAATTGCTTTAAAGAGTGGGAAAAACAATGCAAAATGCTTAAGTTTTTTAAGTTCGAAGTTCAAGAAAAAAATTTAAAAATGGGCTGCCGTCAATAGAAATAAGGCAGATTGACATTTTTAAAAAAATTAATACCTTAACTTTCACAGCTTATATCTCGACGAATTTTGAGGCTATCTTAATTATTTAATAGTCAAAAGAAAGCTTACGATCTAAGCTTTCTTTTGAATATTAAATTATCAGTATAGATTCAAAATACACTGAGATATGAGCTATGAAAGTTAAGGTATTAATTTTTTTAAAATGTCAATCTGCCTTATTTCTATTGACAGCAGCCCAAATGATATATAAATTTCGGGAACTTTTACTATATTTGATCGTATCACTTGCAACAGACTATAAACGAAAAGAGAATAGAAGTCCTTCCTCGAAAATTTTACGCAGACTTGTTAGTGATAAAATTAAGTCTATTTTACTAATTGATGAAAGACAAGAACAGAGATATTGGTACGCAACATGGTGGTTAATTGAATTACTTAATCTAATGCAATGTCTGGCCTTAATTTTTGTGAAATCTGGTGTAAATCCTAGGTTTTTCAAAAAAGCTACTAAATGTGAATACGACAAATTTCTCAAAGAACTCTTGAATGATGAAGAAGCATATCATAAAGCACCTAAATTTGACGAGTCATTAATGGATAAAATTATAGAGAAGTTGGAATTATGATTCATAAACATTATTTTAACTTTTGTAATGCAAAATTATATATTATATTTCAAAAATTGTAATAATTCAATGGATTAAATTTTGGTAAAACTAGAACATAACTCCTATCAATCAATTTTTCTTAGTTTTTGAAGTATAGCGAATACAATCATATCGTATATGAATTCTGGACTTATTCTAAATAACGGCATTATTATTGTAAATTAA